CTGTCAGTCTTAACAAAGAATGAACAATAGACAGTCAAACAATCAACCAAAATGCAAGAAATGTATTAGCTAAACAGATTTTATAATCCCAAACACAACAAAAACTAACATCAATATTCCAATTGTCCATCATAAACAAACAATGAACAAGAAATGTTGCGAGGATGCCATTTCGCATGATTAGAATGATCACCAATGCAAAACATATACATTTGAGATTCAAGGAAACTAACATTATAATATGGCATCAGTCTCAAATACGTTTAAAGTAATCTACATGAAGACTACTCCAAGATAAATCTATTTCGCAAAATGAGAGACCTTATGATACTCACAAGCACCAAAACAAAGATATAATTAATTTTCTATTCAAGACAGAGATTACTGAAACTGTAAACACACAATATTGTAACGTTCAAATAAGCAAGAAATTTTTGTACCATTTTATCAAATGGATATGGTAGGAAATAAAATATCAAAAATCAAGACAATGGGTACTCAATACTCACATACAAGCACCAATTCAAGCATAAAATCAAGACAATGGTTACTCAATACTCGCATGCATTATCAAATGTTCTAATACCAAAAATAAAATCTACCTTTTCATCAATGAATTGAGTCTCTAGAATCTGATAAATACTAGATAAAGGATAGTAGCATGCATTATCTACACAACTGTATATTAAGGAAATACTTAAAATGACACTTAAGACCAGTATTGTTAACTACGTAGACGTACATAACTTAACTTAGTTTGTGATTTTCATATTTACTAATATCAATTTAATACAGAAAAATCTAGAAAGCTCATACCTGTGAAGTCTCTCTGTCTTAAGAGCAGATAAGTCCTTTAGAATTATGAGCACCTATATATTAAAGAGAAACTAAAATGGCACTTAGATCATTCTTTCTAACTTTACCTATATATACATAAACTTAACTTAATTTGTGATTTTCATATTTAATAATATCAACTAAATACAGAAAAATATAGAAAAGTGCATACCTGCGAAGTCATTATGTCTGAAAAAAAGCAGAGAAGTCCATGCGAATATGAACACTTTCTGTAGCATATACCTGAAAAAATCAGAATTAAAAATAGTTAGTCTCTACTTCAAGTAAAACACCTCATACTTACCTTGTCACTTTCAAGGCACAGATCATGAATCCGGTTTTATACATGATCTTTGTCTTAACTCTGTTTTAAGCCGTGGGTAAACTGAGTAATCTTTTCCAAGTCTTTGTCTTAAGACTATTACTCTTTTTAAGCCGTGGGTTACTAAGACTCGTTCTCCAAGTCTTTGTCTTAACTCTTTTGTAAGCCGTGGGTAAAGTGAGTAATCAATTCCAAGTCTTTGTCTTAAGACTATTACTCTTTTTAAGCCGTGGGTTACTAAGACTCATTTTCCAAGTCTTTGTCTTAACTCTTTCGTAAGCCGTGGGTAAAGTGAGTAATCTTTTCCAAGTCTTTGTCTTAAGACTATTACTCTTTTTAAGCCGTGGGTATACTAAGAAACATTCTCCAAGTCTTTATCCTAAAGACCTTTTCTTAGTTCACAGTCTTTTCCCTAAGACTCTTTCTAAGCCGTGGGTAATAGTAAAGCAAAGAATCCTTTTCAGTTCTTTGCCTTAAGACTTGTAAAAGCCATGCTTAAGACTTCTTTAAGCATTTGTTCATTTTGCCATCGAGAATCTCTTCCCATAGTCTGTCTTTTCGAAAAATTTCCAGCCTTTGATCGTTTGTTGTCTAATGGCTTTCCTCTTTTAAGCCTTGTGTTCATATTCAAGAACAAGTTTACGGGTCATAGTCTCTGTTTTTCAGCCTTGTTTAAGGAATCTGTTTTGGTTCATAGTCTATGTCTAGACTGATGGATCCAGCAAATCCAAAAACCGACCCTGTCTTTTTCTAAAGACTTTTTTCAAGCCGTGGGTACTAGATTAAGACTTCTTTAAGCATTGGGTCATTTTTTCCATCCAACCAATCGAGACTCTGCCCATAGTCTCTGTCTTTACAAACTTTCCAGCCATTGATCGTTAGTTGTCTAATGGCTGTTTCCTTGTGTTTATAGTCTCTGTTTTTAAGACTTATGTAAGCCTTGTGGTCATATTTCAGACTTACTTTTTCCGTTCATAGTCTTAGTCTATGTCTCTAGACTGATGGATCAACACATCAAAAAACTGATCCAGTCTTTTTCTAAAGACTTAAGCCGTGGGTAAGTATAAATCCTGTTTTAGACATTTGTCTTTGTCTTAAAACATTTTTCAAGCCGTGGGTACAAGTAAGGCAGCAGATTCACTACTTTCTCTTAGCCGTGGGTACTAGCTTAAGACTTCTTTAAGCATTGGGTCATTTCTTCCATCCAACTAATCGAGAATCTCTACCCATAGTCTGTCTTTGAGAAATTTCCAGCCTTTGATCGTTCTTTGTCTGATGGCTTTTGCCTTGTGTTTATAGTCTCTGTTTTTAAGACTTATGTAAGCCTTGTGGTCATGCTTAAGACTTACCTTTTTGGTTTATAGTCTATATCTCTAGACTTATCAACCCAACAAATGGAAAAACCATTCGTAGGTAAGGAATCTGTTATAGACATTGTCTTTGTCTTATAACTTTTATAAGCCGTGTGTGTGTCTTGCCTTTTCTTAAGCCGTGGGTAGAAGTAAAGGGTCTTTGCCTTTAGACTTTTTTCTTAGCCGTGGGTACAAGTAAAGCAAAGAATCCCTTTTCATGTAAAGGTCTTTGCCTTAAGACTCTTTCTTAAAGACTTTTTTAATCCGTTAGTCTCTTTCACCATCCAAGTCTTGAGACTTTTTATAAGCCGTGGGTAGTAGTAAAGTAGTGAATCCGTTAAGTCTTTGTCTAAAGACTTTTCTAAGCCGAGGGTACTAACGGATTCACTACTTTTCTCAAGCCTTGGGTACGTACAAACCAACTCAGTCTTTCGCTAAAGACATTTAAGCATGCACTACCAACCAACTAAACGGGTCATTGTCTTCAAACAAGAATCTGACTGTTTATAGTCCTTAAGACTTTTGATAAGCCGTGGGTAGTATTATACTAAAGTAGTGAATCCGTTAAGTCTTTTGCCTAAAGACTTTGTGGGTAAAGTAACAGATTCACTACTTTTCTCAGGCCGTGGGTAGGTAAGTAACGGTTTCACCATTTTATAGTCCTTAGACTCTCTAAGCCATCGGTCATGTTTCCTTTCCAACAAGTCTAAAGACTTTAAGACCATTGTTTTTTTCCATCCCACGCAACAAAACCCATAGTCTTTCTCTAAAAGACTTTCAAGCCGTGTCTTTTATATTCCATCCTCTGACTTTCCTTTGTTTAGACATGCACTACCAACCAAGCCATAGTTTTATTTTCCATTCCTTAATATCCCTTGCGCATGCACTACCAACCAATCGATCGGGACACTGTCCCCACACAAGAATCTGACAAAACACTATAGACTAGTGTCTGCCAGTGATCTTTTGGGTTTCGAACTTTGATAAAACCACAACCAAAGCGTAAAAAGGCTTTGCAAATCTTGATTAAAGCATAACCAAAGCGAAAAGGCTTTTGAGTTTTATAAAAAGAACACAAAACCAGTAAAAGAGCTAACCTGTTTTCTGCTCTTCATGTAACCGGTGAGAACTGATCATATGGTTTTATTGCAAACCACTGATTTAGCTTCCTTTCTGCAAGCTGAAACTCCATCCAAGTAGGCATGTGAATCGGAGTATGCTAAGCAGATTCCTTACTCTGCACATATGGAAACAGCCAAATAAGTTGGCTAAAAGAGCTGATGACAATTGAATATACACATATTCCATGAAAGTAATCAGACTCTGCAATAGCAAGAAGAAGAAGAATAAGAAATCTTGTTTCAAAGCATTTTTCAACAGATTCAACATATGCTCTTGACAAGTGGAATCCAGTCTTCTCCGTTCATCTAAAAACCACAGGAATTTACCGAAAGGATACATCACAAACTTATCAAAGACCAAAAGAATTTGTATCAAACCTGCAAATTTCTAGCACAAGCCGTCTCCTGTAACCGCCTTAACAGCTGCAAGGCTTCAGCTTTATGCGCCATTGTTTGCATCTCTGTTGATTAAGAAGAAACTTATTAATATCTCTGGTGAAACAAGGAGATCTCTCACACACCATGGAGATTCATGATCACTACAGAAGATCAGTTAATTGAGAGCAATTTGGAATCTTTAAAAACCCTAAAACACAATCGCGAAGGGGAAGATGAATAAACCCAACCGATGGCATCGGTTTTCATCTGGAATCAAATCAAGAAATCTAAAACCCTAGAATCATAAAATTCAATTCGCCATCTACAGAAATTAAAAAAACCTTACCGATCTAAGACTGAAATCGATATTTTCCGTTGTGTAATTCGTATTCGTCGGAGAATTGATCGCGAGAAATCCAAGAAAGAGAGAAGAAAAGCGAATTCGGGAGAGAAGAATTGATCGCGCGACAAAGCACAGAAAGAGTTAGAAGAAAAGGGAATTTGGGAGAGCCAAGGTTTTACGAGAAACTGATCGATCATGCTTTTATCTATTTTCTTCCGTTTTGATAAAAAAAGTAATTTTTTCCAACGGATGTATTTTTCAAATTATAATTAATATGGGCTTTTTAGTGGCCCATCTAAAAATGGATCAACCAGAAATCGATTGTTTTGGTAACAATTTAAAAGCAATATTTGAGATCGGAGAAATCTAGCAAAGAACGGCGATAAATATTTTGGATTTTGTTTTCATATCGGTTCCGGCCACTAACTCACTAACCTTAGTTTTTGAATTTCATAATTGGTCTCGTTACTTTAAAATCGACAAATAAAACCTCATTTTGAGCAAAGAAAAAAGAGATACGTGTTAATGTAAAACCTATATCAAAATCTATATTCAACGTTGAAATCACTGTATATGACTATGAAACAATATACAGTTATATGTTTTTTATATACGAAAAAGTTACGTTGTTTGTTCTGTGGATAACGTCACCAGAAATCCCCACAAGAACATCTACCATCCCCAAAATGATGAAACCTTTGAACATCCCTCAGAACAACTCTCCTACCAAACACAAGAGAGATCAACTTAGCTGCATTGTGACAATCTCTACAAACCCTAAGATTCTTCACTACCCTAATCGTCGTCCCTGGAGGAGTGTTCAGCAATCCAAACGCAATCGCAAGCTTCTCGCTGTGATACCTAACCGCAATCTCCTTCTCCTGGTCACTCATATCAGCGTGAACCACCATTGACGTATCAGGAACATACCCTGCAAGCTTTAGCTCTTTAACCATCTCATCCAATGCTCTGTGAAGCTTTGTGTTTCTAGACTTCACACACTCCCCTGAGAAAAACTCATGAACCACATTCTTTACCTCTATCGAGCTACAACCAGGAACTTTAACCGCCTTTCGATCTTTCATCACCTTTCTTAAAGAATCTACGTCTCTCCATTTCTTGTTTCTCGCGTAAAGATTAGATAAGATCACGTAATCACCACCGTGCGAGTCATCTAGCTCAAAGATCCTTACGCTCACCTCTTCAGCTAGCTTCAAATCGTTATGGCTGCTACAAGCAGATAAGAGAATCCTCCACAACATAGGCGTTGGATTTATTGGGAGTGAATCAATGAATCTATATGCATCATCCAAACGTCCAGCTCTACCAAGAAGATCCACCATAGAACCATAATGCTTAATACTCGGAACAATCTTAAATTCGTTAACCATCCGAGAGAAATACTCACGCCCTTCTTCTACTAGACCTCTGTGGCTGCAAGCGTTTAACAGACCGAGAAACGTGATCTCATCAGGCTGAACATTCTCACATCTCATTCTCTCAAACATCAACATAGATCTCTCAGCTTCACCGTGATTCGCGTAAGCTCCAATCATCGCTGACCAAACCTGTGTATCCTTATGCCTCATCTTCTCGAATAGAGTCACGGAATCATCCAAGCTCCCACATTTCGCAAACATGTCGATCAGAGCTGTGTTCACTTTCACATAGTTGCAGAAACCGTGAATCTTAGCGTACTCATGAATCCATCTCCCTAGATCCAACGATCCCAGAAGCGAACAAGAAGATAAAACACTCAGAAGAGTAATCTCGTTCGGCTTCAAGCTCTTGCCTTGCATCTCACGAAACAACGACAAAGCCTCGTTTGGTCTGTTTCTTCTCGCGTAGCCTGTGATCATAGCGTTGTAAGAGACAACGCACGGTTCGTTAATCCGATCGAAGACGCATCGAGCAGCGTCCACGTCTTCACACTCGGTGTACAGATTGATAAGCGAAGGACAAACATATACGTTATCATCAAGCCCTAGTTTCATTGACAGAGAATGCAATTGTCTACCTTCTTCTAGCGCCTTTGCTGCTGCACAAGCTTTGAAAAGAGACGGGAAAGTGTAATGGTCAGGTGAAAGATCGTCTTCTAAGATCTCGACGAAGAGAGTGAAAGCTTCAAGAGGAGTCTCGGAGCGAGAATACCCACGAGCCATGGAGTTGAAAATCATGATGTCTTGTTTAGACATTGCGTCGAACAGGTGGCGTGCGTATGACATTGATGAGGTCGTCGGAGACTCTGTGCAGAAATTTACCAGCTTTGTGATGAAGGAAACGTCGTAGTGGAGATGGGATTTGATTGAGTAAGCGTGAATTTGCATCAGCTCTCTTAGAGAAGTGCATTTGGAAATTAGAAGAATCGGGTTTGGTGGATTCGCAGTGTCGATTCTCGGAGGTTTGGCGATAGTTTCTGCGTGAGAGAACGATGATATCAATGAAGCTGAGGATATCGCCATTAAAGCTCTGAATTTGAGCTTCTCATTTTCAAATTCAGTGACTTGGGATAACGATAACGATAAGCCTGTCTCGTGATCAGGACCCGATTTGCAAAATAACCCGACCCGATATGTAATTTAATATTTAGGTATAAAAATCGTAAAAGGCGCTACAACGACCAATTTTCTCTTTTGTTTACCATTTTATTTTTGCTTTTAATTTCTTTTTATTTTTTTCACATCACCGGGTAAGACATCGGAGACTGAGGGCGGCGGCGAGCTTCACCGGCGCTATTTCACGGCGGCGCTCTCGATCTCCATTTTATCTCGGTTGAAGAAAAGCTTCAAAACAAACAAAAAAAAAGAACAAAAATTCGAAAAATCAACGAAAAATAATATTTGTATTTGGTTACTTTTGATTTTGCATATCGAGTTCCTTTCAGATCTTATGATTCCTTGTTCGTTCTCGTGGCGGTTTCTAAATTGTTGATGCGACGATCTCATGCCCGTTCTAGGGTGAAGACTAAATCAGATAAATCAGAAATGGATCCGATTAAGTTCCAGATCCGTTCGGGCAATCGAGGATCGTCGTCTTCGTCGACGTACACGCTTACTAAGTCCATATCGAAAAATGCGAGATCGAATCTCCTGTTAACCGTCGCTTCCATCGCCACCGTGCTTGGATTTGTCTCTGTTTGCTATTGGATTATGTTCTCCGACGGGAATCGGAGAGGCTCGCTTCGTTACAGCGTCGTGATCGACGGCGGAAGTACGGGGACCCGAATCCACGTATTCGGGTACCGGATTGAGTCCGGTAAACCCGTTTTCGAATTCAGAGGAGCGAATTACGCTAGTCTGAAGTTGCATCCGGGTTTATCGGCGTACGCTGACGATCCCGAAGGAGCGAGCGTGTCGCTGACGGAGCTGGTGGAGTTCGCGAAAGGGAGGATTCCGAAGGGAATGTGGACGGAGACTGAAGTGAGGTTAATGGCGACTGCGGGAATGAGATTGCTTGAATTACCTGTTCAGGAGAAGATTCTTCAAGTCACCAGAAAAGTTCTTAAATCTTCTGGGTTCATGTTTCGAGATGAATGGGCTTCTGTTATCTCTGGTGAGTTTTCAAACTGAATTCTTCATCCCTGAGTTAGATCGATGATCAATGGCACTAATACTGAATTTGCAGGATCTGACGAAGGTGTATATGCTTGGGTTGTGGCAAACTTTGCGGTGGGTTCACTTGGTGGCGATCCTCTTAACTCAACCGGAATTGTTGAGCTTGGAGGAGCTTCTGCGCAGGTTTACTTTACTTCCTCTGAAAGTTATCATTTAAGGCGTATAAAGCTTAGCAGACGATGAATGTTTTGTATGTTCTTGTTTAGGTGACATTCGTGTCAAGTGAGCCAGTGCCTCCTGAGTTCTCACGTACAATATCGTTTGGAAATGTTTCATACAATCTCTACAGTCACAGCTTCCTTCACTTTGGCCAGGTACTTTCTATTGAATCTTTTGTTCACCTTTAGAAGAAAGGATTTTTATCTTTTGCTAATGTCCTTGAAGCTATTAACTTTCGCTCACTTGTAGAATGCTGCACATGAAAAGTTATGGGGTTCGCTTGTCTCAAAAGACCAGAATTCAGGTGAGCTTTTGATGATCACCAGTGAGTTTTCTCGCAAATTTTCGTTTCCTTCTCACTTATTCAGTGTTTCATTTCTTGAAGCAGGAGAACCTACGCAGCAAGGAATGTTTACAGACCCTTGTGCTCCAAAAGGGTACAACCACCTCAATACAAACACACAGAAGCATTTATCTGGATTTTTGACTCAAGAAAGCAAATTGCCAGCTTCATTTCAAGCTGGGGGTAATTACTCACAGTGTCGGTCCGCTGCATTATCGATCTTGCAAGATGGGAATGGTTAGATTTTTACCGAAACGCTGGATTTCCATCCATTGTGTCATTTCTGTTTATGTTTCTAATGGATAGATATTTCTACTTTTTGATTACAGAGAAATGCTCGTATCAACATTGTTCTATTGGATCGACTTTCACGCCAAAGCCTCGTGGAAGATTTTTAGCTACAGAGAATTTCTTTTACACCTCTAGGGTACTTCGTTCTCTCATATCTGATTACACTCTCGTAATGTATATAATTTCCTTCAGACCAACAAGAAAATTTCTATGCGTTTTGAGAATGTTATGAACATGGTCTTTGTTTCTCATACCAGTTTTTCGGGTTGGGAGAGAAAGCGTGGCTGTCTAAAATGATTTCAGCTGGAGAGAGATTCTGTGGTGAAGATTGGTCCAAGTTGAGAGTAAAAGACCCGTCACTAGAAGAAGAGGATCTACTTCGGTATTGTTTCTCATCGGCTTATATTGTGTCACTGCTTCACGATACTCTCGGCATTGCTCTTGATGATGAAAGGTATATTGGTAAATTCAAGAGTGTTCTAAGCAAAATACTTCGATTAATGATTTATAATTTTCGTAAACAACTATTTTGCAGAATCGGGTATGCGAATCAAGCAGGAGATAATATACCGCTCGATTGGGCTTTAGGAGCATTCATTCTACAGACAGAAACATCGACCTCTCAACACGTAGACTCTAGTAATCGCCATTGGTTCTATGCTCTGTTCGGTAATGAGTCGAAGACGCTTTTCTATCTCATTGGGGTACCGATCCTTATGACAGTTTTGGTATGTTTGGTATCAAAGTGGAGAAAACCGCAGCTGAAAACCATTTACGACCTTGAGAAAGGTCGGTATATAGTCACCCGGATTAGATGATCTCGGTTTAAACCGGTTTTCGCGCCTCTCAAATAGCCTGTGAGTGTGAAGTTTATCGAACGAGCAGCAGCATCTGCGTGTGATTATTATCAACGGCTTGGCAATTTTTCCCATTTGCTGGGAATTATGGGGGTAGGAGTAAATTCGTATATTGTATGGGGGGTATGCGTAACTTCGATGTTTTGGAAGGGTCCTCTTGTGCAATAAAGTCATTTAGATTATTAACATTTGTATGGTTAACAACACTTCACAGAAAATACTTCGAAAATATATAATTTTCATAAACAAAATTCTCTCTCTTTTGTTTGGAATCTTTCTTTTGTCTTTTAGAGGTAGCAGATGTATTAATTTAGTCGTTTAATTTTTCAAAAGTATTTGTGTTTCAAAAAATTTTACGTTTACTTGACTATACTAATCTTTTAATTGGTGACTTTATGATACTAAATTTATCTCTTACGACGATATTCTCCCAATCTAACAAAAAAATTTAGCATAACTATGATCGATAATTGAACAGTTAGTTGCCCAATTATGATAAAAAATGATTTATAAATCATAGTTCTGTTCAAAATAAAACAAAATAACGCCATTATTGTGGATAAACAACAACTACTGTTATCGGATGGGGAACATGTCGTTCACGTCACAACGCGGCAAAGTCTAGAGAATTACCGTAAACACCCTTCAACAATCTGTGTCATTAATACATTCCTTTGGTCAACGGGCCATTAACTTTTTTTCCTCACACGTCTTTATATGATTTTTCTCTCTTTAAATTCGCTATAAAAAGCGATTTTCCATTTGCTCGCTTTGCGGGAAAATCTTGCGAAGAGTTTTGCGATCTGCCTCAGAAAAAATTCTGGGATCAAACGAATTTCCTCTCGTCTCTGGTTAATCTTCCTTTCCGAGTTTCTGAGGCATTTCCGTTTTTCTTTCATTCGCAGGTGATTTTCTTTGATTTTGTATTGGAAATATAATTAATTGAATCGATTATCCTTTTTCCTATCTTTGATTTTATTTTACCGGTTTTTGTTGTGAACATTGATCGCCGATCCGTTTGATTAGGTTTCATTTGGTTCTGATTTCGTAAATTTCTCAGGGTTTTCGATTGGAATTTGTTCGATTTCGTGGAATAATGATAGGTTTATTGACCGAGAGCAGCCACACGGTGGTAAATGGGGATGGGCTGGTTCGACCGGTGCCATTGCCGCCGGTGAATGCGGAGGTCGAGAACGTGAGATCAGAGTCGCCGGAGCCGTCGATGGTGGCCAATGATAAGGCGATTGATATTTCCGATGAGGACGAGAACGAGCCCCTCATTGCTTCTGCGGAGTGCCGTATTTGTCAGGACGAGTGCCCAATCGAGAATCTCGAGAGCCCTTGTTCTTGCAGTGGCAGCCTAAAGGTAGTATTTTTTATTGCTTCTTAGGCTAATCTAGTCGTTGATAAATTTTGTTAAATGTTACTGAGAATGAGCCAAAAACTTTGATGTTTGACAAAAAAAAGCTTTTATGTTGTACCAGTATGCTCACCGGAAATGTGTTCAGCGTTGGTGCAATGAAAAGGGAAACATTATATGCGAGATTTGTCATCAGGTATGTATGTTACCTTCTGTTGTAATCTTTAGCGTTATAGACTTGAATCAATGTGGCGTAAAAATCTCCACAAAGTGCATATTGATAGATAAGGAAATGAAATCTGACTATGCATAGCATAATGCATAGAGATGAATATAAGTTCAACACAAGCGGAGCACGCATAAGGTTATGTCTATTGTGAATGATTTGAGATCATGCATTGCATTTTAGTATGTCAATAGTTACTTTAGGCAAAGTTTCTGATGATCATTAACTTTTCTTACTAGCCTTACCAACCCGGGTATACCGCTCCACCACCTCCTCTTCAGCCTGAAGAAACCACTATTGACATTGGGTACGGTTTATTTAATAGATCATCATGTTTGCTTCCATCTTCTCAGAATTGATATTTGTTCCTGACTTATGGTGCATGTGCCTTGTAGTGGAGGATGGACAATCTCAGGTCTAGATTTGCATGATCCTCGCCTCCTTGCCATTGCAGAAGCTGAACGTCGGTATCTAGAATCTGAGTATGTTGAATATACAGCTTCAAGTGCCAGTGGAGCTGCGTTTTGCCGCTCAGCTGCTCTCATTGTAAGCCTTATAATGATTCCTGACAAATTTCTAACAAGTGTCAACGACCCTCTCTCCTTGTGATAACCCCAAAAACACACACTTTCTTTTCCACAGTTAATGGCCCTTCTTCTCTTACGACACGCACTGACCATAACAGATGATGCTGATGGAGAAGAAGACGACCCATCTTCCATACTATCTGTAAGCAGATTCAAGCTTCTTCCTTTTTACTTTCTCAGAGCAATACATGCAACCATCGTTAATCTAAAACCACAACTTCATGTGATTGTAATTTGTAGCTTGTTTTGCTCCGAGCTGCTGGATTTCTTCTTCCTTGCTATATCATGGCGTGGGCCATCAGTATCTTACAGCGCCGAAGGCAACAGCAGGTTAGTATAAGAGAACTAGTGCAAGCGTTTGTCAAGACAACCATTTCTTTTCTTTGTTCTCCAACTTAATCACGGATGGGTACTGATTTAACCTAACCTGACTGAACAGGAAGCTGCAGCTTTGGCTACACAGTTTGCGTTGGTGCTTCAGTCAGGTCAACCTAGAACAGTTCACTTCACGGTAGCACCGGTTTCACCATCATCCCCAATTGCTAGTGCAACTACATCCACACAACAACAACAACAACAACAACAACAACAACATGAAGAGCCCGTCTGATTCTTCTGACTCATAAGCATACAAGGTACGAGGTGAATCGAATGATGAGTTGGTGTATGTAAATTTAGAATGTATGAGTAAATGAAAATCATTTGATATCTTGTTGGAAGTTTATAGTCTCATTCCAAATGAATTTTTTATTTTCAATGTTACCAAAAAAATGTCAATAGTTTTGTTTTGCGTTCCTATTGCACCTTCCTTTGCGTTCTCTTCTTGATCATGTTCCATTGACCAAGGATTGTTTCCATCATCCAGTGAAAGCTGGTCAAATAATAAATCTTCTTCCCATTCTCTTCCCCTCTTTGATCTAGTGTCCTCCTTGGTGTAACCTTTCCACAAGTTATCAACATTTCTGTAAGTATCATCAGCTGATGCTTCCTCAAAACCAACAAAGAACTCGTTTTTCCCGTGCGATAAATACGAAGATCCTTCTCATATTCTACAAAAAAAAAAAACAAGATTCATCAAAGTTACAAGATTCATCTGAGAGCTCTGCAGCAGCAGATATTGTCTCTGAAACCTCCTCATCATCAATCAGAGAAACAACATCTGCCTCATTACTAATATCGACGCCCAAACTCGGTTCCCAAACACCAAAACCGTTAATGTTAGAAACCATCCGTATAGCTACAATCAGAACAGACATGACACACACGCGTTGTAGGAAGCCTGGGAACGTTCTTGGACAGATACAAATCCGGAGGCATTGACCATTTATGTAAGAGACGCACAAGATCAAGAACCTTATCCTCTGGAATAGATAACCGCTTTAGATAGTTTAAAGCTATACCATAGAATAACATCAGCAATCGAAGCAGCTCTTGCTTCTAAACAATCTCATTAGGCCTAAACAATATGCTTGCATCCACAGGACAAGCAGCTGATCTTTTTCCCATTTGCTCTTGGATCTTGATTCTTGACAAAACATGATTGATAAGGGATCTTACCTTCTTGTGCTTTATATCTACTAGGAGGGCTTTATATCTACTACTATTACTGAGACTAGTTAAAAGATTGTATTTATAAGATGGCGTTATATCTACTACTTCTTGTACTACTATTATTTTCTTCATATAAGATGGCAGTGTCAGAACTATTTTTCCAATATGTGAAAAGTATGAATACTTGACTGTTTTTTCAATGGTAAAAAATACATTTTTAAAACTTAAAAACGTTAATAATAAGTAGTATACCAAAAATATATCAAACCGTGGACAATGAAGTATGGGGGATGTATGGGATTTGAATGTTGTGGCACATTCCTTAGCAAACATGGTCCTGTAAACAATGTTTTTTTGTTCTACTTGTACCTACGTACCTTCCTAGATGGCTATCACCTTTGTTGCATAATGACTATGTAAATTTTGTCTTAGTTAATTACCTGTAATGATATTGTCATGCTTGATCTCACTTCAAACGTTTCAATAATTAATTCGATTGTGTAACTATATATTGTTACATCTTGCTCATATACTAATAGTTGAACGACTAAATGTATATCCGATAACAAAAGTACTAGCTTGCTCATACTATTATATAAACATATATGCGTCTTCAATATCTTTCTATACACTAATTCACTATCAGTTTTTTTTTCTCTTTCTAATCAACGGAGTAAGAACATCTCCAATAGGAATCTGTGAGAGGGTTTCGATTTCATATTATGAATATATTAAAAGTAGTAAAAGAAAAAATTGGAAAACTTATGAAAAACTATCTTGTCATTTGTCTCTTCATCAGTAATCCATTTCTCTTTTGAGTTGCTCTAAGATGCTTTCAAATGTATTCACATTAAAAAAAAAAATATGTGTCGGACGAAAAAGAGTAGCTTATGTAGAGGATGAGAATCAAACACGTAAACTGTGGGGTCAACCTCAAAATGCTACCATTCATATCTCGAGTAATAAGCATATTTTATAGTTTTCATTACACAATTTCCTTGATTGACATTTGATAGGTATTGGGTTTTAAGAACTTTGTTATTTTTAAACAAGATAATAATACACATTACTTACAATTATTTGATATGATCATATGAATGATACGATCCCATTGATTTTCTAATTTTTATACTATATGCATAGATCATCATAGAGCGACGTCAAATCATTACATCAGATATCTTATTATATTTACCAAAACCCAACTCGATGATCTTTGTCAATATCTCCCCATGCAACAAAATACGTACATCCCTCGTGCTTTCTTTTTGTACTTTTGTTCTTTACGAGAATTACACTTTACATAATTACATCCACTATTTAGCGTTTTCTTTTGATTTACTCGCTTTCACATTTTTTATAATCGATTCAAAAAAAATCCAAATACTACATTCAGATCGACGTCAAGCGAGTATGACAACCAAAACGTGTTACGATGTCTAGAAGACTAGAACCTAGACAAATGTCTAACTAAACGAAACGAATTAATCGACCATTCTTTGAAGATCAAGAATCTACTTCAGAGATCCAATATGTGACTATCATATAAATATTATCCATTGTCATTTTCGAATTATTTCAGTTCTTCTTGTAAATTGTAGTTATCATTCTTTAATTTTTGCGGTCACGGGATACCATTATTTCTCCAGTATTCTCCTTTAATATAAATTGACAAAGATTTATCAATATTTTGTAACACTTTTGTCCAAGAAAAACAGATAGTTCTCAAATCAATTCTCACACAACTGGCCAATGAATCAAAGTGGAACCCACTCAAACTGATCAGAACACTTCAAATTCAGAGAAACCAGCTTTCAACACTTCATCTTGTTTCTCTATTTATACCCTATTCCTATTCACACACAAGCAACAAAATAAAATAAAATCAAGCCTCCAAAAAAGAAAAAAAAAATGGTTACCCTAACATCATCTTCTTCAACTCCAAAGACATCTTTTGATTTCATGAAGAACAACAACAATCACAGTCTCTATGTCCCTTTCTCTACTCCTTCTTCTTCTTCTAATTTGCGAAGCAAGGAAGAAGCTCTAGTCACAACCAAGAAGCTCATGGAACCCTGCAAAACCTTAAGCATTACTATCAATCCGAAAGAAGACCTTGTCGATGAGACGAAAATGGTGAAGAAAGCTCCTGAAGATCCAGAGATTGGCGTCTTTGGAGCTGAGAAGTACTTCAACGGAGACATGGATTCAGACCAGAGTTCTAGTGTTCTGTCTCTTACAAACCCAGAAGTCGAGAAGTTCACTATCGATACGAAGCAGAGCGCGAGGAAGTCGTCTACTGGAACTCCGAGCGTCCGCTCTGAATCAAGCTGGAATAGTCAGAGCGTGTTGCTTCAGAACAAGCTGGTGAATAGCTGCAACAACAGTTCCTTGCAGGACAAGAAGAACAATAGTGGTCAGATTCAAAAAGTAAGCCCTAGTAAGAAGAGTTTCCTGGCGAATTTGGGGTGTAAATGCGCGTGTTCTGATGGAGATTCAGTAGATGTCGATGATAAGATCTCGGTTAAGAGAAGCTCTGATCCGAATATCTCTGTTTTCACAGCGAGGAAGGTCGAGAATCAGATGAATCTGAACACAGACCTGATCAAGATGCAGCAGAGTCAAGAAGGGTTAGGGCAGAGGAAGTCTCTTGAAGTGTTTGGATCTCCAGTAAACATTGAGAAGAAGAGGATTGTTGCTCAGAAGAAACACACATTGCATCCATGGGAATCAAGAACAGAGGAGGAAGACGCAAAGAGTGATTCAAGCTCGGATCTTTTCGAGATAGAGAGCTTTCCAGCGAAACCTAAAACTTCTCTTACAAGGCAAGGAAGTGATCCGGCTTCACCAACGTGTTACGCTCCAAGTGAAGTAAGCATAGAGTGGAGCATAGTGACAGCAAGTGCAGCAGATTTCTCTGTTATGTCGGAATGTGCAACTAGTCCTGTAAGAAGAAACAGGTCTTCTCAGATTCCTAAGATCCCTAGCAATACCGCAAAACCAGCACCGCAGAGACGGAAATCTAGTAGCAGCGGAGGTGGTGGTGGTGGTGGTGGTCTCTTGTTGAGCTGCAAGAGTCATAAGTCTGTTAGAGTTTCTGGTGAGTCAGAGAGAAGAACCAGCATGAACAAGACATCGTCGCCGAGTTATGTTCCAAGGTTCCCAATGGAGACTACTAAACATAATAAGAGTTTCGAAACACGAAGAAAGATGAGCAGCAGCTCCATTTCCCACACACAGACACGCTCGTCTCTTCTGTATAGTCAGTGATTGCACAAAAGTAAAAAAGGAACACACTTTCAATCTCCATCTGATCTCTCTTTATCTGTAATGTCTATTGAGAGAGAAAGATTTGTAAACTTGTATAATTTTCTTGTTGAGTTCTTGAGTCATAATGTCATCTTCCACGTTAAAAACAAATTAGGGTTTTCTTAGAGACTTCTTTGCACCTAAAGAAAACAAAACAAGCTCAAAAAGTGACATTTGATTAGAGAGTAATTAACTCACGTAAAGAGACAGATCTAAAACGCAGCACAATAATAAGACTAATTCCAAAAATTGTCCCCACCAAGTTTTTGTTTTTTTTTCAAAACTGGGTCTGAAAAAGAAAGATACATTTTAGTCTTAGATTCAAATGGTTAAAAAGAGAACGTGAAAGAGCTATTAAATCAATGAAAGTGTCATTTTACCTAACATATCTAAGATCTTGGTCCTTAGGGCCATGTGTGTCTGGATCAAAGCAAAGTAGACAAGAACCTTAACTGTTTCGTTGAAAATATGAAAGTGATGTGGAGAGAAAAAGAACCAAAGAGCTTTGTTAAGACAATAAATGCAAAGGTAGATATGTCTCCATAGCCAACTCATAAGGGAAAATATTGAATTCACGTAAAATGAAATTATCCACTCCATTGAAACCTCCCAAGTTAACTCAAAAAGGGCTGATTTAGATTTCAAGAAATATACAAATGAAACCAAGATGATGATTCCAAATAACATGAAAGCTAATAAAGTATGGGTTTTGAAACCAAGAGTCTATACAGATCTTGAAGATAAGAATTGTTTGTATCCAAGATGTGGAAATAATTGAGCCATCGCTTGTTTTTTCCTTTAAAATATTGAATGAAAGATCAAATCATCTAACTACTCAGTTTCTCATATGTGGAGGAGAGAAGAACAACAAAAGCAACAAGACATTTGTGCTAACAAGGCAAAACAAAATGTATTCGTCCTTGGATTTTTTGGTAGGCCGTTTTCTCAAAGCATCCGCTTGTTATTTCCTCAGGTTAATAAGGCAAAGTAGGTATTGAGAATCCGATCCCACATGACAAAGAATGGCTGAGAGAAATTCTTCTTTACTTCTTTCAAAGTTTGTGGTGACACATTCACTGTCTTGTGTGTTAATGGACTCTCTTCATGAGCCACATGAGAAGGAGAAGGGAAGAGTATTGTGTGGTTGGTAGCTGCATCGCATATTTCTTTCTACCTAAAGATTACAAAAAAAAAATCCAAGCACAGGTTCAAGAAATTATGATAGAAGTTCTTATGCCACACCATTAGTTTGTCAATGACTATATATAAGATGGTTAGTTCATGTGCTGAGCGATTTAAGATGTGGTTATGGGGGATTTAAAAGGATATGGAAGGGTAGGGGATTATCTAAATTCCATAACTAGATTGTTATTTGGTTCTGTTTCATGTTTTCAGTGGCCTAAAGCAAAATTAGGCAAATGTGACCTTTATTATTTCAAGGTTAAACAATTTTTTTTTTTTTTTTTTTTTTGTGACTACTGATTATACTATATATGTTTCTTCTAACTATAAGAGAAACTAGATTGAATGCACGATTAATAAGTTGTTAGTTGTTTGATAGATTGTAGTTACTCTTTTTATTATTTAGTTTTAAAGTGTTAAGATAGTGAAAATGATTAGCAAGGAAATGGAGTGGGAAAAGAAGAAGAAGGAAACCCTAAAAAAAGATCCGCAAATGATACTTTTGGAGAAGGAAAACAATACAGTTTTGCCCTCTTGGCAAAGATGTGTTTTCTGAGATCGGTATCTCTAACAACATGGAACACAGAACATCAAAGTTTTGTTTGCTTTCGTCGGAATCTCCAATGTTTGATTTAATAGCGATCCAAACAACTAAGTTAACAGAAAATAGCCTTTAGATATTACATGTTAGTAGCTCTAGACATGTGGCACTTACCAAATAGTCATTGATGACAGGTCATACAATTAAAAAATTGGACTTGAAAATTGGCGGGTTGAGCCAAGCCCATGCAGTAGTGCAACGCATGAACCACTCGTGAAAGCCCAAATACCAAACTATTTTTTTTCTGTGTTCTAAAACTCGTTAGACGGTAATCAAGCGCTCGGTCTGGGCCTATCACCCAAATCATAAATCAAAAATTGTATGAAGATTAATCAGAGATTTATTTTAGGAATTTTATTTAATTAAATAAATATTTAATATTAAATCACAATACATATATATATATATTTAAATTTTGAAAAATGAATAACTTTATCTCATAGTTCACTAGTTTAGAGCTTTATATATCTTATAGAGATGGGAGTTCGAACTTTGGTTTTATTATTTTTCTCATTTATTATTAAGGGTAAAACGGTCATTGTAGCTTGATATTTTTCATAGAGGTCTCACGAGCTTAAACCCTAAAAATGGCGGCCATCCACTCTCTTATATATCAAATATCAATTTTACCATTTATTTTTTGTGGTTTATTCACAAACATGATAGATCCAACATGAATCATTCAATTTCGAGCAAAAAATTACCAAAAACTCAATATCCGATTTTTTTCCCATTTTTCTCTGATTTGTGTGAAACTCCACGGTTGGTATATGTTTTTTTTTTAGAATAGAACATAAATTATTTTGTCGTGCTAGTTGTGATAAATGTTTTCTCCAAATGCTTTTTAATGCAGATTTTGCTTTGATTCTCTTTAAAAGTATATATTGTTTAAGAAGACATCTTAAATTTGTTTCATTGTGATGAATATTATTTCTCATTAAATTCAACTCTTACAGTTTTTGAGTCGTCTTGTTTTATTCAGCAGGTCCATTTGTATCAAGAACTCTAAATACATGCTTAACGATATAAATATACCAACCACCCGAGGAACCTCAACTGCATGAATTTGCATCGAGATCTCGATGCAGATTCATGGAGTTGAGGCTTCTCGAAGTGGTTGGTATATTTGTTGCTAAACATGTACATGGGGATCTCGATGCAGACTGAAGAAAACAAAATGACTCAATAACTGTAAAAGTTGGATTTTATGGGAAAATAATATTCATCACCATAAACCAATTTAAAATATCTTCTTTAAAGATATATATTATTAAAGAGAACCAAAACGAGATTTGCATTGAAAGAACACTCTTGGAGAAAACATTTATCACAGCCGAAATAATTTATAACATATTCTAAAAAATAGGCCTTCTTCTTTAGAAAAAAAAAATTAATATATCATGTGGGCCGATGACCCACATATTATAAGAATATATATTATATTTGATATTGGCCGAAAAAGGTATGAATTGTTTGGTCCATCGAGCTCCCCTTTTATACACCAATTTTAAGAGCGAGTGATTTGCAAGTTAACGATGTGGGATAAATCACCAAATCTTTTTGCTTACTATTATCACCGTCGGTCAAATTAGTTAATTAATTTCTTTCAACAATTGAAGTTTATTACAATTAACTAGAGTTGTGACTTAAGGTTATCGGGTCGTGTATGAGTAGATTCTTTTCGGGTTTGAATATTTTGGGTAGGTGATCTCTGTACTCATATAGGTACTTTGCCGAATTTGGTTCGGTAAAGGTTCGGGTCTTTTCGGGTTCAGATAAGTTCTGGTATAGTTTTAAAACATTAAAATATACTCAAAATATTTCGGTTATAGTTCCGCTTTAAGTATTTCGGTTATTTATCACTCAGAAATCCAAAAATATACCAAGAAACCCAAAAAACCCTGAAAATCCGAAAAAAAAAATTGTAAATCCGTTGTTTAAAAAAAAATACTGAAAATATACCTAAAAATTCGAAAAAAATTCTGGAAAACAGAAAAAAATATATTTATAGTTTTAAAAAAATCCACAATACCCATAATTTGGGTAATTTGGTACTTGTTTGGGTACTGGTTCGGTTCGGTATTATTCAGTATCCATAAGTATTAAATATTTTACCCAATAAATGATTTGTTATATATCTAAAATCAATTGAGTATGAGGTATTTTGGATTAGTACGCTTCGGATTTCGGGTATAGGTGAAAAGTTGTAGACCTACAATTAAATTAACTGTAATAAACAGGAGAAAATACGTAAGAAAAATAAATACACTCCCTCGCCACCGAAGTTTCAATTTCAAGGTCTTTCCATGGTGAGCTAGAGATCTTCGCATCAGGTAAGAGATTTTTGTTTTTCCCTTTTCGAATCTGGTGTTTGTTCTGTTCTTGCTTCTCGATAATACCTGAATTATTATTATAAATTTTTCCAAATCTGCATCTTAGAATTTTTATAGAAATTGTTTTGTTCTGCTAAATTCTCAGATTTTCATATTGTTGTTTGAGTAATCACGATGGGTTTCATGAATTTGGTCGAATTTTAGAATATAGTTTTTGAATCATTCTCTAAGCTCAGACATGCAAATCTTGATTTGGTCTGCATTTTGTTCAGAGTGCCGGAGAATAGATAATGTTACCGGAGAGAAGAAGTGCGGTGTCTTCAAATCTGAATCCGTCTGGTCAGAATGATCATTCGTTTATACTTCGAAGAGGGAAAAAGTTTGGTCGGATAGTGAAACTGAAGCTCTCACATTTCATCTTCTTCTTCGTTTCACTCTTTTTCTTTTCTTGCATCTTCTCTGGCCATAAACTACTCTTTCATGGTAAGCTTTCAACGCAAAGTAACAAAAAAAATAAAGTCTTTTTCTTTTTCTCACACTTTGGTGATTAATCAAACACTCTTAATTTGGATTTTGTGTAGGTTCTGAGTTCTCACCTCACTTTGAGCAAAAGTGTAAGCAACTTTATCTTATTCTTGGATCTGTGTACTACAAAAGCCTATAATTGTATTAACTTGATTTTGATTAAATGTAGCTTACACGAAAAGCCATATGTTCACGTCAAAGCTTGATATAGTATCAAACAAATCCAACATCGAGAAACCACATGGAAGCAAGAAGAGAACCAAGCGTATGTTTGATCTAAGCCAAGCTCAAGTGTTGGTTTGTTTGATCTTAAGCTAAGCTGAGCTAAACTGTTTATATATTTGCAGATTTGCCATGTGAAGTTGCACTTGCTGGATCTGTTAATTACATACTTGAGCCTAAGGAGTATATGGATTTGAAGCCATTTTCTTTAGGCTTTGTAGAGAGAGAGACATATGATAAGCCTAGATTTGGAGGGCATCAGACACTCAAGGAAAGAGAGAGATCATACTCTGCTACAAACCAGACAATCCACTGTGGTTTTGTCAAAGGAAGTAATGGATTCGATCTGAGTGAAAAGGACAAGGCGTACATGAACAAGTGTCTAGTCTCTGTGTCTTCTTGCATTTTTGGAAACTCTGATTTCTTAAGGAGGCCTGCAACCAAAAAGGTCAAAAACTTTAATCCTTTATAAAGACTTTATGCATGTGAGGTCTCATTTGCTTGTTTGATTCTTCAGATCAGTGAATTCTCGAAGCGAAATGTTTGCTTTGTGATGTTCCTTGATGAGCAAACACTATTGAAACTGGCTAGTGAAGGGCATGTTCCAGACAAGGAAGGGTTTGTTGGTCTGTGGAGAACTGTTGTTGTGAGGAATTTGCCTTACAACGATATGAGAAAGACTGGAAAAATTCCGAAGTTTCTGTCACACCGTCTTTTTCCTTCTTCTAGGTGAGGTTAGTTTGGCTACTAGTACTCTCACACAAACCTCTGAGTTCTTGAATCAGTGACTCAAAATCTTTGTTTTTCTTTTTACCAATGCTCATTTGTTTTGTTTTCAGGTATTCGATTTGGATAGACAGTAAGATGAGGCTCACTACAGATCCTATGCTGATCATTGAGTTCTTCTTGTGGAGAACGAAGTCAGAGTTCGCTATCTCTAACCATTATGACCGGCATTGTGTTTGGGATGAGGTGTTACAGAACAAACGGCTGAACAAGTACAACCACTCGGCCATCGATGAACAGTTTATGTTCTACAGATCAGATGGACTCAAGAAATTTGACCCTTCAGATCCTAAACTTCCTCTTCCAAGCTGTGAGTAAATCAATCAGTCTCTTACACATACACATTTACTCTTAATGTTTATTTTTGAGTGGTTGTGTGTTGTTGTTGTTGTTAGATGTACCTGAAGGGTCTTTTATTGTGAGGGCTCATACACCAATGTCAAACCTATTCTCTTGCCTTTGGTTCAATGAAGTTGATCGGTTTACATCGCGAGATCAGCTGAGTTTTGCATACACTTACCTTAAACTTCAGAGACTCAATCCAGATAGACCATTACGCCTAAACATGTTCAAGGTAAATTATAAAGAAACAAACATACAGTATTAGTGATTAGATGATAATAGATGTTGTATGTAGAGAGATTGATAAACTTGGTTTCATTATCAGGATTGTGAGCGTCGAGCATTGACTAAACTCTTCCACCATCGCGTAGATTCATCTCCTCCTTCGCCTCCTGCTTGATTGGTTAAGTAAAGATAGTTTTCTACTTCTTTTTCTTGTGTTCATAAAAGATTCATAAGTAGCACTGTTTTGTTTACTGTTAACCTCTTTTTTACTCTTTCTACTTCTTCTAGTCTAGCTTTGAGGGAGATGAAACATGGAAGAAGATGAACCTAATTGCCATTGCGAATGAGCGAATGAGCGAACGAGCCAAGACAGGGTCTTTGTAAACTAACACGCAAATTACTGAGGATATAGACATAACTGAACCAGATGCTGCTTAAGGTTAAGGACACGAATAGCTGCACATTTGTGATTTGTCTGTAGTGCGATTTAACACTTAAAGAAATGATCTTTAGTACTGCATCTGTGCATCATCTTCTTTTTTTACATTGAAAACAAAGCAGATATATATATATATATACAAAACCTTGGTCACTGTAAGATTTTTGTTAGTTTTTTAACTTTGAAAAATCGACTCAACATCTTCGTTTAATCACATGAAAATTGAAAAGCTTGTACTTAAATCAAAATTGAATCATACCAAACCAAAGTCCAAGTTCGAGTTTGTTACGAAAATTCAAAATTCTAGTTCATAAACCAAAGAGAGCGATGACAAGTCTAAGCCAACTCTTAATATTTTATTAATAATTATAAATACAACACGCATTAGTCAACGTCAAAGGTGATGTAGCTCAGATGGTAGACCGCTCGCTTAGCATGCGAGAGGCACGGGGATCGATACCCCGCATCTCCATTTATTGACTAAACAATAGTCAGAAACTCGAGGTTTTATATACACCTGTGTTAAATAATATCAATTGGGGATGTAGCTCAGATGGTAGAGCGCTCGCTTAGCATGCGAGAGGTACGGGGATCGATACCCCGCATCTCCATATAATCTTTTTTTTTTCCATTTAATTTCATGCTGTGTTTGACGGGCTTGGGCCCTAACTTCAAGCACAACTGTATCTGCTCATTTTGTTTTTGTTTGTTTGTTTAAAACTGCCTAATTGTGTTTATCCCAAAAAAATCACTTGAACTTCGTTGCAACAACTCTTCTAACTACAGATAACTGTGATCATACATATAAAAGAAGATACTCTGAGTTCACAACATTCAGATTCACATGTGAAAACTTGGGATCTTAAAGTGTCAGAATCTGTAGATCCTTTTCAACAATCTAACAACATTGTGGCGTTTAATCTATCATCACTGGCATGAGAGTACTCCTGAAGTCTCAAGAATCTCTGCTGGACCGGCGCTTGAGGGTACTGAGACTGTCAGATTCTTCTTTAAAAGGCTGAGTCGACACATCGGACAAAGCAGGGAGCCTAGAAACACTTCCTTTGCCTTTCCTAGCATTTGGACCAATCACTTCTATCATATATCTCCACCCATCTATCGGTCTTCTCCTGCTGAATATGTGCTGCTTTATGAAACTCGCTATCTGCACCATCAATCAAATTTCATTGAATTCTATAAGTCTTTAATCATCATCAAAGATACTAATATTTGCAGGATAACGATTTTGGGTGGTACGTACCTGGAATTTGCAGAAGGCAATCCGGCGATCAAATTCTTGGAGAAGAATGTCTTCTTCTCTTTGTGACATTTCCCAGAGGTTCCCATCTTGTTCCTTTGCTGTCGATTCCCACCCATCAGGCTTGTTTTTCAATTCGGTTCCACTCGAGACTTCCAGTTTGTCAAAATCATGGTCTACCGAGTCGAAAATCCTGAGTAATTTAGCCATTAACTTAAGATCAAAACCACAAAGAAGCACACAAATCTTCGAAAACACCATCTTATAAACACATAATAACAAGCATGTGAAGATTTTTGAAGCATTAGTAAATCCCCTTAGCAACTAAATGAACATGCTTGAGATTGTACACAAGCAAATCACAATCACTATATGTTGATTCTGAAACAAATCTTAGTATTGTTTAATGGATTAGCTAAATCACAGACCTAGTAAGTGAAGTGAAGTTAACCACAAGATTATTCGAGAAACCCCTAATTGAAAAATTTGCATTTTGAAATTAAGTATTTAGGGCAATAAAGAGAGAATAGTTTACTCTGAGCAACTATCGAGAAGCCTATCAATATCATCAGCTCCACCACCAGATCCCGAATCTCCCAATTTCGCTTCCTCCAATTTCTCAATCTCCTTAACCCACAACGACGCGTGTACTCTCTGCTTCTTCAATCTGTAATCCTTCTTCATCGTCTCCAAGCTATAAAGCGATTCTCCTCCGTCCATCTCTTTCTTCTCCTCTTTCTTCCCGCTCTTCCCTCTCCTCTCGTTCCAGTGCTCGTTCATATCCTCGACGAACGCCTTTGCCTCCACATCGATTTCCTCCGGCGACGCGATCGCCGCCGTCGAAGGGAAGTTCACGTCTGTTTCCCATGGAGCTCGGCTCTTATCCGTGAGATCATCCGGCAACCAAGCCGATTCCCAAGCGTCGTTCCATTTATCTTCGTCGTTTCGGGAGTTTGTGGACATGAAATCGACGAGAATCGATTGGAAATTCAAACGGGAATGCGAAACTCTCGGAGAAATTGGAAATTTGGTTGTCGTTCTGGAGATCAATCCTACTATACGGTGAAGAGAATTCATCTCCTAGAATGGGAAAAAGAAGAGGATTCGTACGGAAATGGAAGCTCGTCTACTGAGTGATAATGGAGTTTTGATATGAAAAAAGAAAAGACCTTAAACCCTGCGAGATTTAGAGGAAATGGGCCTTAACTATATGGGCTCAATTTACTAAATGGGCTTTGCTAAAATTATCACTACTTGTTCTAAATTTCGAATTGACACTCGTCTACATAGTAACCATGTTAATGTACACACACACTCACATATGTTAAACAAAAAAAAGGGTCTTAGATGAAAATCTTTCACACTAAGAGTTTATGCAGTTGATACTGCAAAAATTTTGATGGTCGTCTGGTATTTTTATGTGTACTTATGATTGTTAGTTTATGTATTTGGATTTGACATTCTACATGTCTAAATTCCGAGCATAACTTGTATCCGTAATTGTATTAGTGACAACAACAAAAATATTAGCATCACAAACAATTCGCATTATTCCGATTGATAATTACTAACTTAGGTTGGAATTTTGTTTCTACACCAAAATACGAAAATCTAAACAGCATAAAAAGCTAAAGGACCTAAACGAAGAGTCCATTGTTGACAAAAATGTAACTTGCAAGCAACAGATTGAGATAGCTTAAAGGACACATCCATAAAGACATAACATTTGCCCCTCCTTACCTCAACAAAAAAAACAAAAGTGAACACTTTTTTTGTCGTCATAACAATGACAAACACTTAAAACCAACGTTGTAAAGTGAATCTAAACGATTCGACCTGACCAAAGCAAAACAAGAAAAAATAGAAAACTTAAAAGCAAAACTATGAACAAAGACCAAAAGATGGCTACAAACATAAGAATTTCCAATAGAACAAATTATTAGAAAACAAATCATACAACAGTGTTAACCAGATCTGGCAAACTCTAAAAAAAAAAGCATCAACTTTTAACGAACTTATTATAACCTGTTTCAGTTTTTTTTTCCTTCTTTTGGACTGTCTGGTCTCTAACAATACAGAGATGATTGTATTCAAATCGAAAATTTTGTAAGAAAAACAACAAATAAGGAAGAAGAAGAAGAAAGCATAAAGGTTGGAGCTTGGAACCTACAATGGAGTAGTCTTATGACGTGTGAGAGCTTAAACCCAAGAATCTGGAGGGTCTTCAAAGTATTGTAGTGCAATGAGTTGTTCCTTTCAGCAACCCATTACCGCACAATTGTAAACGAAATTAGGAGAATGTTTCCTATCAAGCAACGTCCACTGCGGTGGACCACCTTCGCTTGGTATCCAAGAATTCAGCTCTATAAACCCTCCTCCGGCGTACTTCGGTCCACCAATCACAATCAACCTCTCCCCGCAAGCCCTAAACGCCAAACCCCAACCATTAACCGAGCCAGCTCTCTCCGGCAATCTCCCAATCGTCAACCACTTCTTCTTCTCCTTATCATACTTCCTCACTTCCATATCCGCGTGATCCGCAACATACAACTGGTTATTCACAACCGCCACAAGAGGCGGCGCTTCAGCCGCCGGCGACATCCCACCAGCACCTTGATCAGCACGGCTTCTCGGAGGCGACAAGTCAGGGATCTCAGTCCACTTCTTGGTCTCCAAATCGTACTCCTCTCCACAAGTCAACACTTTCGAATCAGCACCGCCGATTCCACCGATCACATAGAACTTCCCGTCCATGAACACACCGGAACTCATCTTCCTCGGCTTGTTCATCCTCGGAAGCGTTATCCAGCTCTGAAGCTCCGAGTTGTACATCTCAGCGAAATCAAGAATCTTCCCCTGAGAGTCACAACCCCCTGCGAATATCGCAATCTCCCCGAGGCTCGCAGATCCGAACAAACACCTCGGAGAGTTCATCTTCATACCAGAAGACCAAGAATTAGTCAATAAGCTGTATCTGTATATTACATGGGAAGCGAAATCGTCTTTCCCCAAGACGAGAAGGTCAGTGCCAACGGCTAGAGACTCCTTATCTGCACACATGAAGGTGACACTCGAAGGCATTGTAGGCAACTGCATAAACCTTCTCTCAACAGGATCAAACGCAACCCATTCCAAGAGCTGGCACGAGAAGTAAACCCAATGCTCCACAAACCCGTTCTGCCTCCTTAGTCTGTAGATATCTCCGCTCTTCACCAGAGAACGGAAGTTCCTGTTCAAGGAAGCGATCGAGCCGTAGTCGGACCTCGAGCAGCGGACGAGGCAGTCTATGGAGTTGTCACGGCCGATCTCGTTGATGAGAGAATGCGTATCGGAGGAATCTCCTTCACCGCCGTTGTTGTTGTTGTTAGAGTCGGACTGTTCTTGCTCCTGACTCGTCGAGCCATCGCCATCGCCATCGCCATCGCCGCTGCTTAGTGTGTAGTCAGAGGAATCGCTATCGTACTTAATCGAGAAACCCATTAGCTTGAGTGATTTCGTCTGCCGAATCTCACCAGCGACCTCGAGAGCTCTCTTGCCATTGGTGGTGAGCTTGTTGTTGTTGTTCGCATCGTCGTCCTCTGGATACATGAAAGACTTTGACCAGTTTGATTCGGAGATGCGAGAGCTTGAGAAAACCCTTGAGATCAAACACGAATCTGGTGATCGATCTTCCAACATGTCTTCCCAAAAAAAACCAATAATTCTTAAGGATAATTAGATCAATCCCCGAAGATAAATCAATTCGAATCTGAAACCATTCAGAGAAAAATGGAATCAATTCAGATTGTTGATTCGAGCAATAACCTAATCAAAATCAGTCATGAAGAACAGATAAACACCGAAGAGAAGATAAATTCGCCAGCTTTCGAGATCCAGATCTCCAGATTCCAACCCAATTTCAATCAAAAAAAGGGGGAAAAAATCAAACCAGCGAAAACTTGGATCCCGATCTGCTCATGAATCCTTCTGCTCGAAGAAGAAAACAAAAGAGGGATTCTATTGAGAAAGGGGTTTGGTTGAGAATTAACGGATTATAATAAGAATCGGAAATGGAAGAGAGAAGAGACTTACGAGATTGGATTAAAGAGAGGAAAGTAATCAATTAAAAAAGCTTTGAGAGAAATCTGAAATCTGAGCAGTTTCTGTTCTTCGCGTTTCTCTCTCTCTGTCTGTGTCGTCTCTTGGATTCGCTCTGCGAATCAGAGTGAAGCTTTGGTTTCTCAGAGGCTCTCAAAGTTAAAAATCTTTGGAGGAACGATTCTGTTTTCTCTCTCTTGATTTTTATTTTTCTCTCTTTCTCTCTCTCTTGATTATTCCTCTTTTGTTAAGTTTTTTTTAATTGTAATATGCAAATTTAGTGCTGTCAAATAGAACTAAAACGGAACTGAAACAAAATATCTTAGTCCTTTTTCTTACCAAAGAAAGAAAAACCGCAAATTAACTTATGGAAACTTTACAATTTGAGAGTAGATATTCCGAATAAAAAAAGATTAGAGAGCCGATACACCAAAACAAAATCAGAACAAAAACGATCTCAACTAACTCGAAAATTATATACTTTTTAGAGTTGGTTTAGTTTACACTTAATAAAATATCTGGTGACCTAAACAATTGGCAAACTTTAAATTTCTTGTAATATTTTTAATTTTATTTGCAGTTTTTATCTCTTTAATGGCGTCTCGGATCAGTTTTCATATTTTGCTGCATGAGGTTTGGATAATCGAGAAATAAAATATTTATCTGCCAAAAAAACATGAAAATGAGGGAAAAAGAAAACCATGGAAAAAAGAATTAAATTGAGGAAATCAGGAAAAAGAAACAATCTACTTTTCAGCGTTGAATGCAGATGTTCAGAGTACTTCAGCTGTTAATTTTCAGTGGTCAAAAGGAATTAATTACTCGCAGAAAAAAGTTGTTTACAGATCCCACGTCATTGAAATTTAATATTCTTTTTCTTTTTTTCTTTTCTGAACATACTCTATAGTTTTTTTTTTGGTTGTTGATAGCATCCTCTACGTTGTGAAAGTACTGAGTACATGTATATTGAGACAAACAGATAAATGCTTGTAGATACATGAATCATAAATGATAATACGTAGTAGAAAAATGTCAGTGATTGTAACCAAACGAAGTACTTGTTTTTTTTGTAACTGGTAAGTTCCAGATAGAGGAACGTACTTCTCTTCAGAAGTGTGAAAACGCCTCCCATACAAAGTTCGAACTCTAGTTTCTGAATTCCAAAAACAACAACGACAATATAACTTTATATATATTCCTGTTAATCATATAGTTTTTCTGACCAAAGTTTTTTTTATAGTAATTTACTTGTTATTTAATTTCACCATTTAACTTTTGTATTTTATTAATCCGTGGAACAGTAACTTACTCCGGATAGAGCTGAATGTGCGCCATGAAAAAGCTGCCCACACACACACACATGAAACTGGAATATATTATTGTTATTGCGATTTACAAGTTTTTTATGTTTTTACAAGTTGCCGAATATACAATTTACGTTCGTCAAATTTCATTTGCCAAATATTTTATTCACCGATGATATTACAGCAAATCTTATAACTAAACGTCGATGTATGATAAAAATATCATTTGTTTTGCTATTTTCCTCTTTCTTTAGGAGTAATTGACACGTTAAACACTTTAACAAACAAAAAACTGAAAAAGCGTAACTTACACGTTCTTGCGTAATGGTGTCGTGGAGTCATTATATTCAAACCAACAAATTATCATCATCGCCGGCTGTGAAATGTGAACATTATAAGCTGTATAGAAGATAAAAAACGTCACTCTTATAAGAGTTTGCGAGTGTATCTAATATCTAGCTAACGTCTTTTTCGCTAGCTCTCCTTAACAAGGAAATATATCAATCATCACTTGTGGTAGAAACCATTATATAAGACAATAATACGCTAATCAAATCTTATTACAAAACAAACTAATGTATATTTACCCCAAAAGAAAACAAACTTATAGAAAATCTGCGAAGGGCATATATATAGATAAAAAAAGCACTCACAAAAAGAAGCAATCCATTAAGGCTCAAACTTCTAATTAAAATGTGGTTTTGAGCATCTCCAACCCACGCATTGGAAATAGTTTTAGGGATTATTTAAGCAACATTAAAAAATTACAAACCATAACAATTATATCATAGCTATTAGGATGTTATGATATAATATATACTCTTTCCGTTTCGAGTTAATTATCGTTTTAGGCTTAATTTTTGTTTTATTTTAGTTGTTATTTTGTGCTTTCAATGTAGATTAATGTTATATTTTTCGATTTTATCCTTATTCTTTTAACTTATCAATTATTCTTACCAAACAAAATAATATTTTAAATAGGCGTAAAACAGAAAATTTAGTTAGTTTATTAATATATGTGAATAACAAAAAAACAAAGAGAATAGCTTTTAAGCAACATTCAAAAACTACAAATCATAACAATTATATCATGTCATAACTATCAACTACATTTGAAATGTCATAACATTTGTTTTAAAAAAACTGTTTAATATCAAATTAAAATCATAACAATTATATTATATATGATTTAAATATGATTTTAAACAGTCTTTTTAAAACAAATGTTATGACATTTCAAATGTACAAGTTAGAGTGTAAGACAATTATTTTAGGGACAAATGGACAATTAAGGTGGTTTTTTCTCGTTGCTTTTGAAATTTCCACTTTTTAAATGATTTTAATGAAGTGAGTGGATAGAAGAGTTCGTGAAAGAGCTGTCTCCACGTGACGTGATTCTTTTTTTTATTTCTTCACGTTCTTCCCACATTTCTACATCTATCTTTTTAACTCGATGGTCAGTTGGTCACATTCTTGATTAACACGATTATAAAATACATTCAAACTGATCTTCTTTTACAACTTTAACAATACATTTAAAATTATTAACTAGTTATCCGTGACTGTCCATTCTTATGTTATAACTATAATAATAACACTATCATCTATCGACAGAGAAAGACAAAATTGCCAACCAATCAAGAAGATAAAATAAAAAACAGTATTTTTATTTAGGATCATACACCTCAATTTGTACAATTACCAAGTTGTGGAATTGTTATCTGAGAAACGACAAGGAATTGTTTTCAGGCGTCAGCTTCGACGCGTTCGGCGTCAAGGAGATGACGTGTCAAGTTATGGTACATATGGTTTTTCTCTTTACTTAGGTCAAGGCCGCGTTCAACACGTGCTCTTTTGTAGAATGTAAGTATGTAACTAGTTAACACTTAAAAGGTTTGTTTATCGATTTTTAATTAGCTTACTTTACCAGTTAATTATATTCTGGTTTTGATTCGATAAGACTGTGTACTGCGCCTTTTTAAAAAAAAAAATGTCAAAACAAAATAAGAAGCAAATTTGATTTCGAACACTTTTATTGACTAGAACTAGTTTAACCTATTCTACTTTTCGATTCCATAAGATTACTAGTAAAGAACCCACACGTTTGTGCGGTGTGACGTTGTGGTTTTGTGTAAAAAATCTAAACTCTAAATTGAATCCGACCCAAAAACCCTAATCAAATTTTTAAAACCCCACTTTTTTAATGTGTAAACCCGAAAACCCAAAATCCAAAAAAATCTTGAAAACCCAAAATCCAAAAAACCCCGAAAACCCTAAACATAACTAAAAAACTCAAACTTTTTCACCCGAAAGCCGAACCCAACCCAAAAACCTTAATCAAAATTTAAAATGTCCAAACTTTTTTAATATGTCTAAACCCGTAAACTTAAAATCCAAAAAATCGAGAAACTCAAAAATCCAACTACTCGATAAATCCGAATCCGAAGGTATCTATCCAAACCCGACCCAATCATCCGCAAGTTTATGAAGAAATATGTGAATCGATCAATTAACATATTTGATTTATGCCTTGACTAAACCTTGTTTTAAATTATTATGTAGCTACAGCAGCAGCGCATGGGTTATGTTTTGGTCCTCATTTATTATATGATTTTGTAAAATTGGTTAAGTTCAGTTTTTTATTTTAAATTTTTATGAATTGTGAATCTTGTTTAATATTCCTTTAAGTGAAGACTTTTGTTTCTTGTGATATGTGTTATGTTTTTAATGAACGTCATTTATTAAAAAAAAAAGAACAATAGCTTATTTTTGCATTTCTTACAAACAAAAAAGGAAAAAAAAGACATGTGGTCCATTTCGAGGTTTCTTCACTTTCATTCCTCTTTCTATCTTCTAATTCCAAACAACTGGATTGATCTATCATCAATTATCATCAACTATAAATCCAAAGCTTCAGAAAAAGTAGAGACTGATCAATCTTTGCTGGGTTTCCCATCCATGTATTCATTGAGTAAGATTTTCGAAGTTCTTGTTGTAGATCTTTGCTTGAATGGTGTATAGATTAAGCCCATTATATGCTTCAATCATCTGTAACTGATTGGCAAGCTAATCGATAAACTTTCAAAACTTATCCGTATTAGAAAATGCTTTTGATTTGCTATTATCATCATTGTATTATTTATTTATTTTTGGTACAAGTTTGGATAGTGTTTTAATTGAACCGATATTATCATCATTGTACTATTTATTTATTTTTGGTACAGGTTTGGATAGTGTTTTAATTGAACCGATGTGCATTCAATCAATTTTTGGCCTACCCACTTTCGGTTTGTTTTA